TTTGTTTGGAGTCTTTAGTGGAGTATGCTATTTTGCTCCACCGCTGGCAACTATGTTTTTATCATTTGATTAATTTTTTAACGGTTAGATCTACAGCAGAAGTAGATCTGTGTGGCGCGCAATAAATTTTTAATACGGACTTGCATGCATCTGACCATTAAAAATAAATTCAACAGTTAAAAATAATTATTCCTACCGGTGAACTATAATAGCATGTTCTACCGTAAAAATTTTCTTTTTTATTTTAAATGTTTGAAAATAAAAGAAAAATATAAAAAAAATTAAAGAAAACAAAATATAAAAGAGCTAAAAAAATCAAAATCTTAAAAAAAAAAAAAAAAAAAAAATTAAAGAAAACAAAATATAAAAGAGCTAAAAAAATCAAAATCTTAAAAAAAAAAACCAAAACAGGTCATTTTGGATGACCAAGATGTGAATAGTAGAGTCAAGAACGGTTCTTTTATATATGTAACCGAATGTAAGATAAGATAAGATAAGATATGTAAGTGTAGGATAATTGTCGTTTCTTGTTGTTAATTGGAAATTTATTTCCATACGTTTAGTGCAGTTTTGTCTTTTTCAGGCTGTTGTTTTTGTGGTTGTTTATTTTGCCATTCCTGTTTTTATTGTTAATAGTCGTTTTTCAATTTTATTTTTGCCAGCCAATATCGTTTTTGGGGTTAACCCTTTTCTGAAATTAGTGTGTACTGACAACAAATTTTGTGATAGAAACTTTTGGAATGTATTTTTGTGCATTTGAGTTTCAAAACAAATAATCCGAGACGTTAAAATAAATTGTTAATTGTCATCTCTTAAAATAGTGTTATAAGAGCAACTCCAATCATGCTAACTATTTTATATTTTTAGCTAAAATAGTTAAAAATTTAGCTTTTTTCTACTCTAACCATTAGCTAAATGGTTAGCTATTTTGAAAAATCCATTTCACACTAGCTAAATATAGCTAGCAAGAAGTGACTAACTATTTGATTTTTTATATTATTTTATTATTTAAACGATAATAAATGCAAAAGTTCTTTTACAATTTAATAAAGTTATTCATATTTTTAAACTCAATAAATATTAAAATAATCTATACTTAGCTAAAATAGAGAGTATGGTTGGAGTGACTCACCAAAAACTTACTAGCTAAAATAGGTTTCTAGTCATTTTAGTTAGAATTTAGCTAAAATTAGAGAACTCCCTTGAAGCTCTAAGAATTTAAATTTTTGATCGATGACTATCGTTATTAAACCTCATATAACAACTAAAAAATAGAAGCACATACATTAATATACTAGTAGTTAGGTGTGTGAAAATGATTAAGTCATGTGGATAAGACATGAACCATTAGATTGAAGAGAGAGCAAATTAAACTCTTGAATTGGTTCAATTACTGGTTGAAGGAAAAAATACAACAAAAAAAAAAAGTTGAAAGCAAGCAAGCATAATGTTGAAGAACAAAAATTTTAAGCCCACATCCGTGCTTCTTTATATATAATAAGTATATGTCTATATATGTTTTGTCGCTATTCTCAAATTTTGGACATAAAATTTCCTTGTTCATTGCTTTTTGTTTTTATTTTTTTATTTTGTTTTGGCGTTTTCCAATTTCTCCCATACCTTAGAGGCCGTAGTCACTTTCTAGACTCGAACAGCCGAGCGTCACGGTCAGACTCAGGGCCACTCATGGGTCTTCTCTTGCCTATCGTCCACTTATAAGGTGACTAATTAACGAAAACGGGAACAATTCAATGCTTTAAAATGGGAGCAGCAGATCAAACAGAACTGTTTCCAATTGCATTTGACATGACTTATATGTGTTATATAGATTATAGATGCTATCATAACTTTAGAGCTTGGAAATTAAGATGGAATTTTCAGAACTATGTTTCTGTAATACTACTAGATTTCAGTGTAAACAAAGAGATCCAATCCTTGTAACCAAATAAAAGGAAAACGTTCATAACAACGCGAAAATAACTATTTTCGAGCTCTTCATCAAGTCTTGATCATCCTCTGATTATCTTTATAATGTGTAAAGGATCTTGATTAATTTGACACAAAAGAAGGTTTATCGATGTATAGAAGTTAGTAGTTTTCTCTGTATTTACACCGCTTGGAATGACAATAATTGAGACAGATTTTTCAAACCGTCCTGTGATTGTTTTTCCATGACGTTTTTTTTTTTTTTTTTTTCATGGGACATTTAGTGACCGTCTTTTAAAAAAAAAAAGCTCATTAAATATCGGTAATGTATCCAATCGCAATTTACGTCACTGTGGGCTACCGGCCGGGCCCTTCGATTAAATCCCTTCCGGAACAGGTTCAAGCATGCATGCATGAACGTGGAATGAAAATGTTAGTTTCCAATAGCTAATAGATGATGACTTTATCCATTGAACTACTTTTATCATGAAATCACTTTCAAGTGAATATAAATGTATATTATTTATATGCATGCATATATTGTGTGGCTTGAAGTATGTTTTGTAGATAGAGAGTTTCTTTTATGACATAAATAATTCAAGCTCGTCCTTAACGAAATAATTTCATAATTTTTTTTTTTTTTTTTTTTTTTTTTTTTTTTTAAAAAAAGTGTGAATGCATGGTCTCATGTTCTGGGAGATCAGAAGTTGATCATGATCATTATATATATAGTTTTCAATTTTATATAATTTCAATTTTTTTTTTTAGTTTTTTAGTTTCAAATTCTATATTATTATGTATAGTATCATAATGTCTTGACAAGGGTATATGTTAGAGAAACTCCGAAATAAGGCCACATATTTGGAAATACAAGGCCACCTGCTCTCATGAAACTCTTTTTATGGGCACTCTTAATTCAAATACACGTAACCATTAGTACTTTTAGTACATGATATACAACTATTCTAAGCTATTTATATATTTTTTAGCAAATACACAAACATGCACAATATTCTTGTACTGGTTTATAAATATATATATATATATATTGTGTCGTATATTTAAATTATGGCCGTCACATATGTACTCGAATGAATGAAAGCTTAAATTCTTCAGTGCAAAAATATGCTCTAATTATCAAACTAGAAATCCGTGCATGCATCATGGCTTGAGAATTTTTCTATTTTGGAAGTTAGTACCATAAATGGCTAGGTATGGTACGACATAAAGGTACTGCATTAAGCACAAAAGGATAAGTTTGAACCATGCTATAAATATCTTTCACCGATCCAAAAAAAAAAAAAAATTAATGCATGCATAAATAAAACCCATCCGACCAACAAAATCTTTGGACCACAACTTATTTAATTTAATAATATTCTTGTACGTTCCCCATTTCTCATGTAACTACACTTTTTTCTATTCATTCACTATTTCTTTCAAATTTCGTGTGTGTTTCCCGGAAGTGAAATGTGTTCAATGAAAGGAAAACAAAACTACGAAAACCTATTGAAAGACACGCGAGATCTTAGGTCTCGTTTATTTTACCGATTTGAGTTTAGAATTTAAGTTTTGTTACAGTAAAAAACTCTCAGAAACAGTCACATTCAGCTTTTTTGCTCCAGTGAAAAGTTCTCACATAAAGTCACATTTAAACTCGAATTAAAAACTCAAATCAGCGAATTAAACGAGCCCTTAATTAGCTTTTTTGCTCCAGTGAAAAGTTCTCACATAAAGTCACATCTAAACTCGAATTAAAAACTCAAATCAGCGAATTAAACGAGCCCTTAATTATTGCAATTAGTAGGTTGGACCAAGTTGTCTAATTTGATCTGAAAAATAATTGACAAATGGGGCATCTTATTATGCAAGAGAGAGAGAGACAACGGGACAGAGAAATTCATATTTCATGTCGTTTTGTATATATTGTGTTTACTTTGCTAGGAAGCACCTTGATCGGGATCTAGATCTCTGATAATCTTTTAGGGGGCAAGATGAGACTTCTCATAAGTACAATGTAGCCAGCTATTTTCAGTGTACTTGATTTCAAAAACATCTTAATAAAACATGTTAGGGATTAACAAAAATATAGAAAGTGAACAATAAATCAACATAAAGAAATATGATACGACTGAATATTTAATCAGATCATGTTCTATTCATTTCTTATATTAACCCTGATCTTAGTGCTAAAAGCGTACGGAAGGTTTTTTTTTTTTTTTTTTTTTTGGGACACTAGAAGACTGTGCGTTATAATTCAATGTGATTTTGTTGGTTTCCCATCAGAAAATTAGATGGCAAATTACATATGGCCTAACAAAAATGTTTTAATTGCTATTCTTGTTTTTGTTTTATTTTTTGGTGTCTTAGTTCTTGTTTTTTTGGGCTTGATTTCCCCCTTATATATATATATATATATATATATATGTATATATAATATTCCTCAGTGAAGCCAAGATATTAACGCTTAATCTCATGAACTTTCCATCTCTTTACTAATCAATGATACAGGTTTGTTGGCTGCTCCTCAACTAACATGCGGACTGTTTAGGATGATGTCCTTTGAAAATACTAAAAAGCAAAAAATGACTTAACAATTAATACGACGTTGTCTTTAACAAATTAGACAAGCACAGCAAATTATCGTGAATTATTAATCTCTAGATAGTCGTGTGGAGCCTGCATAAAATATCATGAACTGATTATATTATCAACATAAGATAATAATAAAGCTAGGCTCCTAGAAGCTCACCATTCTTTGTGCAAGAGTAACATTAGAGATCCAATCAATATATAAATTAATCATTTTAAAATTAAAGTAATTTGTGATCATATCATAGTTGGTATTTTTTTTTATTTAATTATTGTGAACATGCAGGTCAAGTTGGATTGTGACAGCGTGGTGTAGTCCATAGCCAAACTCCATCCAAATGTTCAAATGCTCCTATAGCTATATAAAGCCTTCTCTGGTCTAACATTTCATATCAAAACCAACAAACTAAGCCAAAATAACCAAATAGAGATACAGAGACTATATCCACATCTAGCTATATTTTTGAAAAGATCAAGAAAACATGGCCCATTTTTGGTCTGCTGAGAATGCCACAAATGCCTACCTCAAAACCTTGAATATGGTAAGTAATGAGTATCATTATCTAAAGAATCGAGTATTTGCGAAATGTTAAATCCCGCAATATTCATAATAATATAATCTGAAGGTTCAGAAATGCGCATGTTTATGTTTTCTGACTTAAAGTTTTCTTTTGTTATTAATTCAGGTGCACAAACCAAATGAGCCAGACGAAGTGGAGTTCATATCAGCGCTGGCCGCCGGGAGCAACGCGAAACTAATGGTGGTTGCGTGCGCTGGAGCGGCCGACGCCACCGCGCTAACCCTAGTGGCGGCGGCTCATCAAAACGGAGGCCGAGTGGTCTGCATTCTCCGGGGAAACGAGGAGCTAGACCTGTCGGAAGACCTGATCCTCGGCCTCGGTGTTTGCCACGTGGAGTTTGTCATCGGCGACGCGCAAAGCCTGCTTCTCACTCACTACCGGGAAGCGGATTTCGTGCTCATCGACTGCAATCTCGAGAATTACGAGGGAATTCTTAGGGCGGTCCAAGTGTCCCCCGCCTACAAGAAGGGCAATAATGGCGCCGTTTTCGTCGGCTTCAACGCTTTTCGCAGAGCATCGTGGCGGTCCAATATTGTTGGATCGAGGACTCAGTTGTTGCCTATTGGAGAAGGATTGTTGGTGACGAGAATTTATGCTAATAATAACAAGAACAATATAACAAGATCAGTGATTAATGGGAAGAGAAGATCACATAATTGGGTTGTGAAGGTGGATAAATGCACGGGTGAAGAGCATGTGTTTAGGGTCAGATCATCATTTCCACAAGGCGCAGAGATTGAAGCTTAGAATTATATAGTTAGAATATTAATATTATTGTTACAATTATATATATATATATATATTATATCCTTAGATATTCTTGCTAATCAAAATTTGGTTGGCGTGGAAGAAGAATCTGATTTTTGATCAGTTTTGTTGCAAAAACAAATACGGTGGAGTGCTATAGTTAAATTAGTAGTTTGTACTACCTACTCATGAGTCAGTTTTGATGTAATATGATAATGTAGATCTCAATTAGTCTCGAGAAATTGCATCAACAAATGTGTACATAGCACGTGCAATGTAAATGGAATTATGTGCTTGTTTGATACAATTTTAGTCATAAATGGATTGAGTTATAAATTGATGAACAGTCTTCATTAAGTTTTGAACAACATTAGTATATCTAGCAGATCAAAATTAACACTACTTTTTGGCTAATCTTGTTTTTTCTTGCTTTGCAATGCACCAATGAAATTGAATATAGATCTACTAAAATTGGGTTGAAATCAATCATGTATTTCTTGTGTGTGCGAAATTCGAGAAAGTGAGCCCAATAATGCAATTTGAAACCGGCCAACTTTATTTATTACTATCAAGTTTTCGGAGTAATGTTTTTATATAACCGAAGTAATTGGAAAAAGAAAAATAGATATACTAAATCAATTAGCGTGGGTTTAGAATAAGAATTTATATCATGATTCGGATCATGATTTATGATTCACAATTGTATTTTCTCTAAAAAAACACATATAAACCGAAAATAATTCTAAATCATTGATTCTAAATCTATGAACCAAACAACCCCTTAGTACTTCATCATCATGAACTTTTGTGGTAAAGAATACTTACCGTGATGTAAGTCTAACAAATATCATTTAAGAATCAATTCAGTACAAGAATTTTAAGAAAAACATGTAAATCAAAACAGAATCAAATAGTAATTCCCATTTCACTTTTATTTTTAGTTTTATTTTTATTTTTTGGCTGAATAACTCTCATTTCACCTTGCAAATAAAGGAATCAGACAGCCAAGCTTACGACTAAAGCAGGTAATTAAACATGTCGAGATATATATTCAGCTATAATTTAGCCGGCGCATACATACACAGTCACAGGTGCACGTACGGAAGATTCATACGGCTATGCTAATACATATACACAAGCGTCTATATATATATATATATCATATGTACTAGAATATAATTCAAAATTAACATGTAGACATGTTGTCATGTCCCCGCCAAATGATGCATAATCCACCCAAACAGAATCTCCACGCTTACAATAACTTGCGTGTATATAACACACACACACACACACACATAATCGTAAGATTATAAAGAAGAGGCGATGAAGAGCCAATTTTTTCATACTTCAACCTTTGCTTTCTAATTGTTATCGCGAACGTTGCAATTCATTTAAAACAATAATTATTAAATTTTTTTTTTTTTATAAAAAGAAGAAAATAAGGATGTAAAAAAAATAAAGATGCGAGAAAAAGATGTGAAGTAAAAGACAAAGAAAGAAGATTTTAAATTATTTTATTGTGTTTAAATTAATTCCATTTGATTTGATTTAATTTGTTTTTACTTAATTTGGTGTGGTTTATTTTATTTTAGCATATTTTTGTTAAATTTTATGTTTTCTTAAATTATTTATAATATTTTTATTTAAACAGTATTAAAAATTTAATACGAAACTGTGTTAAAATAGACAAAATTAGATTATAAATAAACCAAAAATTAATAAATAAATATAAAAAATCATAATAATTAGTGAATAAAACCGGTTTTTTTATAAACATATCAAAGAGTCTATTCTCCCTCTCTCTTTTTCTCTCTTTTCTCAAGCGGGTCCCACCACTCTCTCTTTCTTTCTCTCTTTCTCAGGCAGCTCTCTCTCTCTCTTTTCCCAGGCAGGCCCACCACTCCCCACTCCCTCTCTCTCTCTCTCTCTCTCCCACGTAGAGCTCTCTCTCTCAGGCGAAAAAGCAACGCCAAAACAAAAAGACGAGAGCGCCCAAACAAATAAGAAACTAAGGGCAAAACGGTAAAAATAAAAGTCAGGGGACACACACGAAATTTTCTTAAAGATGAGAGAGAAAAAAGACCGGACATTGATCAAAGAACAATAATAAATCCGGTCAAATCATGATTTGAATCATAGTTCATAATTTATTACAGTATTTTTTTTTAAAAAAATACACATAAATTAAAAATAATTTTAATCACGTAATTTTAATTTATGAACTAAACATCTCCTAATAAATCTGGTGTTCTGTTATAATTAAGAGGTGTTACTGTGTCTTTATCTGAGATTTACACCTTTCCAGATATGAGGTTTTTTATTGAAAAGTACAGATGTTTAGTTTCTAAACCTTAACTTTGACAGCTATATATATTATATATAATATATATATATATATTTCCCCCATTTTTCCAACTCTAAAGAAGCCATCAGATAGTTTGTATCTTTTCTCTCTCTATTTTCGTCTTCTTTCTATTAACTTTTTTTCTTCCATTTTTGGGGCTTAAATCGATATGATTTTATTTTTTAGCGTTTAGTTTGTGGTCCACCGTCTCAAATTGGCCCTCATTATTTCGTGATTCTCACTGTAGTTAAAGTCAAGAGCATCACCTACAGCAAAATCTTGTGAATTCTCAAAAGCAAATGGTAATTTTTTAAAATTTTGTATATCCTGTAATTTTGGATATTTAACTTTTATATAAAGGTGTTGTGAGGTTTGGTGATTTGTTGTCTCTTTCTTTTTCGTTCTGCTTTTGATTCTCTCTTTTATAACTTCCATGGTCTATCTGTCTCTCTCTCTCTCTCTCTCTCTCTCTCAAATGTACCTACGCCAAGGTTACTATGCCTCGTCTTGCTTTAATCCGTTATTCATATTGGCATATTCATGTGGCAACCTTATATTTCTCTTTTTTTATCAATTTTCAGTTGAAGTAATTTATAGGGGACTTATGAATTATGTGAAATTTCCAGCGGTTCCATTTGTGTTTGTTTTTGTGCTCATTTGAAATTTCCAGCGGTTCCTTAAAAAGTCGTTCTTAAATGGTAGAGTGGGAATGTGTTATTACCAATCTAAGTTAACACCTAAATGCTCCTGTGATCTAACGTGTTATTCCAGAAAGAAAAAAAAAAAAAAAAAACCTAAATGCACTTGTGAATTGTGATCTGACCAGTACTACTCCTCAGTAAAAAAGAAAAAAAAATAATACTTTTTGCGTTTAAGCATGAGTTGTGAAATATGTAGAATTATGCCTCGTTCATTTCACCGATTCGAGTTTTAAGTTTCTACAGTAAAAAATTTTCAAAAAATATCATATTTAATTTTTTCTGCTACAGTGAAAAACTCTCATAAAATGTTACATCTTAACTCGAATTGAACGAATTGAAAACTTAAATCCGTGAAGTGAACAAAGTCTTAATTTTGGGTTGGTGAAGCTAAACGACCGCCATACCAAAATATTATTTTGACTAAAAAGTAGATTATGGAAATGCTACTACTTAGGATCTTTGAACCGAGTATGGTACTAAATTTATAGTCTAACAACTGCTTGAAACTAACTCTGAAATCTTATCATTCTTCCGTATAGATATGAGCACTTTTATGCTAGGATGCAAACGTGAATATGATGTTTTTACTTGGATCTGCATGTAATCACATTTATGGGGCTATATTTCTCATTATCCATGGGGAAAAGAATTTAAGGGATTTCTTCTTGTTCTGATCTTTTTTCTCCCTTAAAATCTGTCCAATTTGATAATGATTTGGGATGAGAAAGTCTTGTTCACACTGCGACACATTTATGTGTGATCTACAATACGAACTAACAAGTGCTAGAACCCGTAAAAGAATATTAAATACGATTAGTTTTTACAAAACTAAAAAACTCGTTGTTGAGTTCACCTGAATTATAAATTATTAATTATTTAATAAAAGTCTTAAAAAGAAGCCTTGCCCTCTAGTTGGTAAGGCGATCTCTCTCTAAAATTAGTTCGGCAAATCGACCGAAAAATAGAATTATCAGTGTCTTAGCACCTTTTCTTTACTCGGGAAGAAGGCGAGTAGGGCGTTTGATGGGGACCGGGCCAAGAAAACCTCCCTCTCCTTCCCCTTCTTTCGTTCCCTTCAGTCGAGTGTTGATGATCGGGGCTAAAGATTTTATGGATGTCGGGACAGACAGGTGAGGAGTTCGGCTAAGCCGGAAAGATAGATCGAGTTTTGTCTCTTGATTGAAAGAAGCCGGTAGCAAAGGAACTAACAGCAGTGTTTTATATAACTGTTTTTAGGTCTAGAGATTCATCCCCTTGTCTGAGTTCACCTTATTATAGTAAAAATTTTTTTAGAAACAATCACATTTAACTTTTTTACTATAATACTATAATAAAATAATAAAAAATTTTCACATAAAATTACATTTAACTTAAATTAAAAATTCAAATCAACGAATTAAACGAACATCACCACCCGGTGTGTGTATACCATAAAGCATAGAAGTGCCGTAGGCACTTTCCCATACTAGTGTGTGTATGTATGTATATATATGCACTTCCATCAGTTTTCTCATCACCTTCACTCTTGTACGTTCCTACTTTTATATATTATATATATATATATATATATATATATATATATTTGCAGG